ATGGAGAAGAGAAACTGAATTTTGTAAGTATGTCATTAGGTGAGCAGGTCAGTAGTTTTGGCTATAAGAGAAACAGCACCATCTGTTGGCCCTGGTTCAAAGAATAGCCTTTGTCTGTGGGACAGCTCTCAATCTCACAGAATGTTGTTTCATTGATAGTGTTATAATTATGACTTCGGTAAACCATTCCACCAATATTCCAGGCCAGGTATTCCTAGAAGATGGGATGTGATAAGATTAGTGAATTCCAGAGCATCAGCTTTTGTTGTGAACTGAGATCCTTGGTGAAAAGCAACACTGTGTAGGTTATCTTGATGACGAATCTTGGAATCATGCCATTCTATAAGTCCACAGATGATTTTGTTAGGAAAAGCAAAAAAAAAAAAAAAAGTATCATTCCAGGAAGGACAAATCTCTGCCCCTACATGGAAGAGGTCCAACATAATCAACATGCCTCCAATGCCCCAAGGAATGGTGCCATATCAGAGGTTCAGTGTTGACCTGCTATTGGCAGACTGAATTTTCTGCCTTGGAGAGGGAAGTTCATGTTGTTGAGCTCATGAATAGCCTTATCCTTGCTTGCATAACCACTAGTACATGGGCCCACTGGGGAAAAAAAAAAAAGATTTGGATGATTAATAAGTTGACCAATATCCATAGAATAGGTCATTTTGTCAACCTGATTATTGAGAGTAACTCTTCAGTGGATGCCCAATGACATTTACATGGGACATAAAAATCCTCATACTATATGGATATTTTGAAAAGTCCATCCATATACCTCTTCCCCAGATTTCCTTGTTACTAATATTCCAATCTTATACTTCCCAAGTCTCTGATCAACAGGCAAAACCATTAGCCACCACCTTTGAGTCAGAGTAGTTCTGCACCTCAAGCCATATCTCCTTCAAGGTAAAGCAGACATCCATATGTGCTGCTGAAAGTTCTTCCCACTGGGAAGATTGTCTTTCACCATTTTCTTATGGGGCCATTCCTCTTTCAGCTGGTGCCACCATATTATACAGATCCATTTTAAAATCAGGCCTAGTTTTTTTTCTCCTGCCAAACGGTATTATGTGACACCTCATGAAGCCCTAGAGTCTGAACTACCGACCTGTGCAACTTACTTGTGTCTTCCTGATTTGCTCAACCAAAACCAAACTAATTGCTGTTGAGTTGGATCCTACTCATAGTGACCCCTCCATGGGTTTCCGGGTTGGTATCACTACAGAAGTGGATTGCCCAATCTTCTTTCCAAGGAGTGGCTGGTGGGTTTGAACTGTCAGCCTTCTGGTTAGCAGTCATATGCCTTAGGCACTACACCACCAGAGCTCCCTGTCTTGCTCAAGCTGATCTTTTGTATACCACTTTTAATTGGTGATAGATTGTTGCTATGCTTGCCCCAGTCTTATAGCATGTGGTCAGTTCATGATGGTCAGCTCAAATCACATAGTTCTATGTTGTCAAGACCCAGTCTCTACTAGAATCCAATAACAAGCCAAGTGTTCCTTTAGTAGAAGAGTGCATGGCTTTATGTAAAACCCCTGAGGTTCTGTGTTTTAGATCTCCTATTGGGGCCTGCTAGAGGCTTCATATAATACCCTTCCTTGCCACAAATACTTTGGATCTTCTGGATTATTAGGCTTGAGTAACAAATAGCTTACTCAGCAGCCTGGACCTGCTGTAGAGCCTTTTCTTTTTCCGGGCATGCTTAAATATAGTAGTTTCATAGATTTCTCAGTAAATGAGTCAGAGAAATATACCCAAACATGGCATTTGTTGCCTCTAAAATCCAAAGTAACCTACCAAGATTGTGTCTCTTTCTTAATGTTAGTGTATGCAAGTGCAGAACCTTGTCTTTCACTATGAGACAGGGTTTTTCAACCTCACCATTACTGATATTTTGTGCTGGATAATTCTTGGTTGTGATGAACTGACCTGTGCATTTCAGGGTATTTAGTAGCATCCTTGACCTCTACCTACCTAAGGGTCAGTAGTAGCCAACCTCCCTGCTCTGAGTTGTAATGAACACAAATACCTCCAAACATTGTCAAATATCTGCAAGGGAGCAAAATACCCTCTGGTTAGGAATGACTGCTATATGGGGACATCTCAGCATCCCTTTCACTGAATATTTTTCTGAGACTCTGGCATGCATATGTCTTACTAATACACCTAAAATACTTTCTCCTTTTTATCCAACAAGCAAATCAACATGATGTTATCAATGTAGTGGATCAAAGTGATATTCTATGGGATATCCAGTTGTTCAAGTTCCCTGTGGACTACACTGTGACAGAGAATTTGAGAGCTGACATGGCTCTGAAGTAAGACTGTGACAGTGTATTTCTGTTTCTGACAGGTGATAATTTCCTGGTTCTGATTTTCTTTGCTAACTAATATAGAGGAAAACAATTTATCAGATCAACAGCTGCATCCTAGATGCCAGGATTGTGTTGATTTCCTCCAGCAAAGATGCTAAGTCTAGACCAGAAGCTTCAAGTGTAGTCCCCCTCTAGTTTTGCCATTAATCAAACACAGGAATTAAACAAGGATACTGAGAATCATCACTTCTGTATCTATCAAATCTTTGTTGGTGGCACTAATCTCTGCAGTTCCCACAGGGATATAGTATTTCTTTTGGTTTACTATTTCGTTTGGGAGAAGCAGTTCCAGGGGCTTCTACTTGGCTTTTCCTATCATACTAGCCCTCATTTCATGGGTCAAGGGACTGGTGTAGGGATTCTGTCAGTTGCTAAATATGTCTAGTCCAAATATGCATTCAGGAAACAGGGAAATGACCTCAGAATAATTACAGAATCTGTCGAGCCCTCTGTGTGATGGGGTTAAGTATAAATTTCATTTATCTCCTGATTATCCAAAGCCATCAATGTATCCAGGATTCCCAAGGATTAACATAAACTCAGAGCCATGTCTAATAATCCTCCAAAAGTTTGGCTATGTCCCTTTCCTCAGTGCACACTCACTCTGTAAATGGCCACTGATTATTTTGGGAACAGCTTAGAAAAACATTTACAGTATCTAGTTGTGACATTGTCCTTCTTCAAAAGGATGCAGCCTCTGTTTCAAACCATTGAGCCTTAGGTATGTGTAGTGACTTAGGTCTAAATGAACTAAATGAATGGCTATGACTTTCTTTTGTGGTAATTCAAGTATCTGTTCCTTAGACCTGTAGTTTTCCCAGTTGTATGTATCAAGTTATACTTTAGTAGGCTGTCCATCTATTTCATTCCTAGGCATAGTGTCATCAGTTAGCACCCTCACAGATCCTTGAAGGTCAAAGCAGTCTTATTGCCATTTCACCCCTGCTGTCTATTATGGAAATTGTTCCCCCTTGTCTCTGATAGTTAGGTATCAATACCTGGCTTCTGCCACACCAGGATCTCAACCAAATTAAAAAACCAAACCAGTTGCTGTCAAATCCATTCTGACTCACGGTGACCCTATGTGTTTCTGAGTAGAACTGTGCTCTGTAGGATTTTCAGTGGCTGTGATCTATCCAGGGTAGATTGCCCGATCTTTCTTCTGAGGTGCTTCTGAGTGATTTCAAAACTCCAACCTTTCCATTAGTAGCCTAGCCCTTAACTGTTTGCACTACCCAGGGACTCCACCAGGATTCCAATATTCTCACTGAAACCAGAAAACCCACATCAAACAGCCTAGAGGATAGCTATCACAGAGCCTTCAAGGATGCTTATGCTTCTTTCACTAATGTTTTCCCTATGACTTAGAGCCCTCTGGGCCCTTTCAGGAAGCATAGCCAGGGGGAGGGTGAGCAGGTTATACACAATAAATCCACTCCAACATTCCTGATGCCTTGACCCTTTTGTATGTGACCCTTTGGATTGACCCTTTGGTATAAGACTCTTTGGATTCCTCCTTCCACATTATGACAGGGAAATTTTGACTTCTCAGCTTCAATGAATGTAAACCACTATTGAATCCTAGTTTCAGTAAACCAACTAAGCAACTATTAGAAGTGTTTCTAGCTGCTCAGTTTAGCAGATTAAGATCAGAATCTCAGGTAAGAACACCTGTACTGTAAATTTAGCCTGATCCATCATTATATTTCATCTTTCCTGATCTGACACCTGTAGAATCTACTCTCAGATATATTCCCCAGGTTTCTACTGATGTAAATGAATAAGATATTGCAATTGTTTTGATGTATAACTTCCCCCACCCCCAAAATAGATCTTACAGTTCTTTGCTGGGCTGCTGGATTTGACTTTATAAACAGGTCTGAAGGTAATAAGAGGTAGGCTTGAGGAAAATGGACATCTCTTTGCAAGACAACTGCTGCATACAGGATCATTACATAATCTTTAAGCAAGGGAAGGTTAATTTCCTCAGGTATGTGAGGAGGCAGAGGTCACCTCAAATGTCCCTATCCTAAGTCTCAGGGTCCTACTGCTTTCCAATTGGTGTCCTTATTATAACACAAGTGATTTAGAGAGGCTATTAGATAAATTTACGTTATAATCCTACAATTTGCGCAAGTAAATTTGATTCTAATGCTCAGCCATGGTCTGCCCTTAGGTTATAAGAAATAAGACATTTCTTGGGCCACTGTAGAAACTTTGTGGTTCTTTGACCACGTTTTGAACTGAGAGTTTAAAGCCTTGAGTTGAACATTTCTTTTTCTCTAAGATCTCTCTCTAATGCTTCTGAAACTGTCAGAATGATCCTTACTACCACATTGCAGGGTACAGCAGTGCCAAAATTTCCAGTTTACTTACCTTCAACTGGCACTTCACTTGAAGTAAACACAAATTGTAGTACCATTGCCTGCCATTGATTACTAGCATTCCATTTCCCTGCCACTTAACCAGGAGGTCATCACTGCATTCCAGCTAAAAAAGTAAGCAAATTCATCCTCAGGTGCAATGGAAAGAAATATTGTTACCAGAATCCCAAAGCCAAGGCTATCAGTCAGAATCCAGAGCCATGGCAGGAACTGCACAGTGTGATCAGGAGCCATGGAGGAGATGCTGCAGCTACTGGATGTTACCTGGAGGAAAACAAGAGAAGAGAAATCTGGCTTTTCCCCTCCTATTGTCCTCCAGTCTTCTGTAAGCATCTTTCACTAGGTGAAGCTACACAGAAACCATGTGGCAAAGGAATGTGTTTCCCTGGAATTCAGAGCAGAAAATGACAAGGAATGGATATGAGAGCAAACAGGTAAATGATCAGCACAGGTTTATCTTCCAACACTTCCATTCCATGCAAACATTGAGTATTACTGCCTTCTAATCACATCTTTTATTTTCCTACTTCTGAACCTTTGTTAAACCTCTGCCCCTCCTTGACAGCCCTTTACTTTTTTTTTTGTATATCTAAAACCAGTACTTATCAATGCATCTTGACTGCAGGTTTGCTCCATTTCACACTGCAGCAGTTCATAAAAATAACCAGTTTCTTCATCTTTGGCATTAATGGTTGGTTCATAAATTTGAATACTAGTTGTATTAACTGGTCTTCCTTTTAGATGCATGGTTATTATCCTGCTACTCACAATGTTGGAAACAAAGAAGATGGAACGGCAGCTGGAAAATATGGCTTGCTGATAGAAATAACTCCAGTGATTACATGATAGAATTCTTCAATATCAATGACTTATTTATCAAAAATATCTTTTTTCAACAGCAGAAATAATAACTATACACATGGACCTCACCAGATGGATTATACAGGAATCAAATTGACTACATTTGTGGAAAGAGATGATGAAGAAGCTTAATATTATCAGTCAGGACAAGGCTAAGGGCTAAGTGGAGGAAGAACTTTCAATTGCTTATATGCAAGTTTAAGTTGTTGCTGAAGAAAATTAAAACTAATCCACAAGAGCTAACATACAACCTTGCATATATCCCACCCAAATTTAGAGATCATCTCAAGAATAGATTTGATACACTGAACCAATTGGAATATTGGTATCCCAGTTCAGATGCTTAACTGAACACTAATGACTGAAGAGCAAAAGAGTTGTGGGATGACATCAAGGACATCATACATGAAGAAAGCAAAAGGTCAATAAAAAAAAAAAAAACCTACCAAAATGATGTCATGTCAGAAGAGATTTTGAAATTTGCTCTTGGGTAGCCAAAGCAAATGGAAGAAATGATGGCATGAAGGAGCTGAGCAGAAGATTTCAAAATATGGCTGTAGAAAACAAGGTAAAGTATAATGAACTCTGCTAAGACCTGGAGTTAGAAAACCAGAAAGGAAGATATGATCAAGCTTGGAAAGCATTTCTTCTTCTTCTCAAGCTTCTGCTTCTCAGGCTGAGGGAAATGAAGAAAAAACTCAAGCGTTAAGTTGCAATACTGTGATAGTTATAGCTGTGTGTCAACTTGGCTGGACCACAATTCTGTGTGGTTTGAGCTGTTGTGGTGTGGTTGTTCCCATGATGGGATCAGATGACTATGTTTTGAGCAGCCAATCTGTTGAAAGGGAGTTTCCCTAGGGGTGTGGCCTGCTTCCAGTATATCTGTGGACATCCTGGGAGAGGAGACATTCTTCTGTGGATTGGGATTCTGTTGTGCTGCCTACAACTGTCCATGAGTGAACAATCCACCATTCGGCCTAGAGATCTTGGATTCGTCATTCGTTGGAGTCAACAACCAGTGCACTACCTGCCAGCTCTGAGCTCCTCAGCCCCTGTGCTGCAAGAGTTGGGAAAAGCCTCCAGCTTGACATTTGATCCAGGAAGTTTGTACTTGCCAGCTTCTATAAGTGTGTGAGCCATTTTCCTAAGATAAATCTCTCTCTCTCTCTCTCTCTCTCTCTCTATATATATATATATATATACATATATAAGCTTTACTGGTTTTGTTTCTCTGGAGAACGCAGTCTAACACAAATACTGAAGGATTTTATGGGCAAAACTTTGAATGACACAGGAAGCATCAGAAGAAGATGGAAAGAATACACAGAGTCACTGTATCAGAAAGAATTGGTTGGTCAATTGATGGTCAACATGTTAGGAGGTACCATATAAACAAGAACTGATGATACTGGGTGAAGACATCAAAGCACACTGAAGGCATTGGTGAAAAACAAGGCTCCAGGAATTGGAATACCAGTTGAGATGCTTAAACAAATGGATGCCACTCTGGAAGCATTCACTTGTCAATGCCAAGAAATTTGGAAGACCTGGCCAACCAACTAGAAGAGATCTGTACTTGTGCCCATTCCAAAGAAAGATGATCCAATGGAATACAGAAATTATCTAACAATATAATTCACATAACATGCAAGCAAAAGTTTGTTGAAGGTAATTAAAAAATGGCTTCAGCTATACATCAACAGGTTCCTGCCAGAAATTCAAGAAGAGGACATGGAACTAGGGAATCATTGCTGATATCAGATGGGTCTTGGCTGAAAGCAGAGAATACTAGAAAGACGTTTACCTGTGTTGACTATGCAAAGGGATTAGACTAGGTGGATCATAACAAATGGTGGATAACACTGTGAAGTACTGGAATTCCAGAACACTTAATTGTGCTCATGAGGATCCTGTACATATACCCAGAGGCAGTCATTTGAACAGAACAAGGGGATACTGCATGGTTTAAAATCAGGAAAGGTGTTTGATAGAGTTGTATCCTTTCACCATACTTATTCAATCAGTATGCTGAACAAATAATCTGAGGAACTGGACTATGTGATGAACAGGGCATCAGGATTGAAGGAAGACTTATTAACAGCCTGCAGTATGCAGATGGCACAACCTTGCTTGTTGAAAGTGAAGAAGACTTGATGTGTTTACTGATGAAGACCAGAGACCACTACCTTTAATATGGATTGCATCTCAACATAAATGAAATAAACATCTTCACAACTGGACCGATAAGCAACATCATGATAAATGGCAAAGAAATTGAAGTTGCCAAGGATTTCAGTCTTGGATCAACAATCAATGCTCAGGAAAGGAGCAGTCAAATATCATATAGCATATTGCATTGGCAAATCTGCTGCAAAAGACCGTTTTAAAATCTTAAAAAGTAAAGATGTGGTGGACAGGTTTCAGCAGAGCTTCCAGACTAAGATAGACTAAAAAGGCCAGGTCTACTTCAGAAAAAAATGGTTACTGAAAACCTTATAAATAACAGTGAAACAATGTCTGAAATAGTGCCAGAAGATGAACCCCTCAGGTTGGAAAGTACTCAAAATATGACTGAGGAGGAGCTGTGTCCTCAAAGTAGTGTCTACCTTAATGACATAGGTGGAGTAAAACTTTTGGGACCTTCACTTGCTGATGTGGCAGGACTCAAAATGAAAAAAAAACAGTTGCATGGAATATAGAAGTATGAATCTAGGAAAACTGGAAGTTGAAAAAAGAAAACTGAATGCATAAAGATCAATATTCTAGGTATTAGTGAGCTGAAATAGACTGTTATTGGCCCCTTTGAATCAGACAATCATGTGGTCTCCTGTGTCAGGAAGAACAAACTGAGGAGGAATAGTGTTGCATTTATCACCAAAAAGAGCATTTCAAATGCTCACGATCATTAGCTATTAGAGAGATGCAAATCAAAACAACAATGAGATACCATCTTGCTCCAGCACTAGTAGCAAAGTTCAACAA